CGTTAACTTGAACCTGGAAATTTTGAAGTTTATGACAGTGGTTTAACTTCAACTACTGAACGGAAATTGTGCATTGTTTAGCTAAGTAATTGCATGAGGAAGTGAGAGTTTACTAGCCTGCTTCACCTGAGTAAATAAAGTGAAAACAGAAAATTCCTTCATGCATGATTCATCCGTGGCTTGCTAGACAGATTCTTGAATTTTTTTTTTGGGATGTTTAATCTTGTTGCTCGAATTTGATTGTGAACCAGAATCTTCAGCTTGACCTTAGAATGTTTTCCTTGGAGTGCTAGAAACCCAAAATGCATGACAAAATGCACACGTAGTCTGTGAAAAACTGTTTGGCAATGAATCATTTGAAATCTTGGGAATTCGATTTGGAAATAGTGAAGTGTAGCTATGGATATAAACGGGAAATTTTCCAGCCTTAGTCATGGTTGATAAAGAAGTACGTATGGATTTCTTTATATATTTTGGAGCTGTGGAAAAATTGTATTACTACTGAATTCGCTTTATAATACCTTGAGATGGTCATGCATTTGAATTTTGGGGTGACAATGTGATATTATGGATGGAATTTCTTGGCTTTGGATCAAATACTTGAGTAGGAGGCTGCTGCAAATGTGGTCTTTGGTTTTAAATAACTGTTAGTAGATTTAAACATTTGAAATGTTAGCTTGGTTGCCACAAGAATTACTGGTTGGGTGCTAAGGGCTAATGATTGACGAAGCCCTTAGCCATTGAAATAATTTTATAAAGTATTACTGGATGATGGAAGTTAATTGCTGGAATGTCTTGGGACTCCACTTTTATTTTATTTGCTTATGTTGGGTTTGCTGAAACCAAGTGCTAATGATTGATGAAGCCTTGGTTGACCATTTTATTTTATTCAGGAATGCAATTGTTGAAAGCTAGGGCTAATGATTGACGAAGCCCTAGTAATTTGCTATGTGATTTTTGCCATATTTTGATCCATATTATGATCTAGAAATGGAATCGGAGCGGGGGGAAATTGTATAGACCTTGCGAACTCGAGTAGCTGCGTTCAAAATTAACCAAAAATATTTTCCAACTAGTATTATATTATAAAACTCTATATCTAGCGTTTTGCCTAAAACTTTCCAATTCAATAATTTCCTTCAGCTCAAACCAGCCCGATAGCTACAGTAAATAAGTTCTATAACCTTTGGAAACTCTAAGTCTTATTTCAATTCTTTTCCTTCCTATAAGCCTTGCACTTGTTTAGTTAACTATAGGAAAAGTTTTAAAATACTAGTTCTACTAATCCTAGTGAAAAGCTTGGGAGACTTGCTCGGCAAGAAACCCTATTCTAGGAAAAATAGTTTTTAAGGATAATTTTTACAAAAGCCGTAACTTTAGGGAAATGTTCAAAGTAACTTTCTAACTATGGTTTTGAGAAGTTTGACGACTTGTTTCTAGTAAGTAATACTAGTTACCCTCTTCTAAGGAAAAATAAGGAACATTTCTACTACTCTTGTCAAGCTTCAATCTAAATAGATTTTTTTTTTGAAATCTCTTGAGAAAGTAAACTAGTATTATATTGAATAAATTCTTATACGAATAAGTTTAAAAACTGAATAGAAACTTATAGTTTCAAAATTTGGTTTTTAGGATATCGCGAGGACGCGGAATTCGATTCCCAACCTGATATCTGAACTTCACTCTTGGTGAGTGTCCCTGCCTATTCTTTTCCTACTTGGATTAAGTGCCTTCTTGACTCGATATGTGATAAATTGCAAAATGAGTTTTTGATCCATCGAAGTGAGCAGTGTGTACTTTATCGCACTAGCCGTTCGAGTAGTGACTTGCGTGAATCATTTTTCTTGTAAATCCTTGAATCTAAAAGTAGTTACGTCGTTGGGTGAATCCCTCGGCACTTGAATCTAACTACAAAAATGTCGTTGGGTGAATCCCTCGACCAATTATCTACGAGTATATCTCGAGTATACTGCGTCCTTAGTCGACGTTCGGGCCCGGGACAGGGGTATGAATGGTGACGGGATAGGATTAAAATGAGTGGATCTACATGGACTATAAGTAGTGAAAGTTGACGGAGGGTCAACTACGATAAACGGTGCTCAAGCGAGGAAAATGGCTCCTGAGAGCCCCTGTATCCTACCTTGTGCTGTTATACGCTTTCTTAATTGTTTAACTTGTTTAAGTTATTACTCGCTGTTTGAATTACGTGACTGCATGTTTTGGGGCACCACTGAGCTTTAGCTCACCCCATGTTTATTTGTTTTCCTTACAGGATGGGAAGTTTGAAAGTATTTGAGCAGCTTATATTTCTTATGGTTGTACTTGAACAATTTGATTGTAATTTTCGGTTTGTAACGGATTCTAAGCTAAGCATTGTACTTTTCATTTTAGATTGCCACTTGAAGCTGGAAAAGTGTAATCTCTAATTCTAATACTCAATTTGTATGTTTGTATTAGTATAGTATGTCCCTATCTATTGCGAGCGTCGCTGGAAGTATTTAAGAATCGTCGATTGGCTAAGTTATATGCTGTTATCTCTGAAGTTAATGTGGTGATAGAAATTGATTTGTTTCGGAAGAATCATTATTGTAATAGCTTAGGTTAATCGTCGGAAGGTTTTGAGTTAGAATGCTTGCGTGAGTCCTGGCGAGAGCTGGGCAGACGGCCCGCCAACCCTTTGGTTCGCCTTAGGGGGAAGTGGGGTCGCCACAGGTGGTATCAGAGCCTAGGTTAGAAAATTTATTTGAGAGATATACTATACGAGTTAGAAACCCCGATCTTTTTAGAAGTAAGAATTGAGACCATTAGATATATTTTAAGTGATGCTGATCTAATTAGCTATTTGAGTTCTAACCTCTAAGTTTTAATTCTTTTGCAGGTATGGAGAATGGTAATGGACACGCTAATGGTAACGGGGCGTCAAATGGACACATAGAGCCTCTTAGTCCATCTCTTATAGACCACGAGGTGGAGGAACCCATATACGTTATACCCCAGCTGATAGGCATCCTCGGTGTAACGACCCCACCTCCCCCTAAGGCGAACCAGAGGGTTCGGCGGACCGCCTGCCCAGCTCTCGCCGGGACTCACTTACTTACTACATTCCTCAAGTAAATTACAAGGTACAACTCGAATAGTACATCCAATTCTCCAAAATTACATATCATAAGCGAAGCGGAAACTAGTTCTAAGCGTAGAATGTAGATATACATCCGATTCAATTTCAAATAATTATACAGGCCCAAAGGTACATAAACCAAAACCAAATCTAAACTATACAAGATGTACGCCATCCAGCCATACAGAGATCCAAATACAAGTTCTTCCTTTACTTCGATCCCAACTACAGCGCAGGAACTATCCATCATATCTCATTGCCATGCTCAAGTCCAAGCCCTCAAAAACCAGGCTTGAAAGAGTGATACTTCACCCCCTTTGAAATTTCTTAGTTCCTCAAGCTTCCCAACTCGCACTTAGCACTTTAATCGGTTTGGAAATTTAATTTGTCACTTGGTTGGTTAGAATCAAGAAGAAGGAATTGTTTCTTGCTCTCACTTTCTCTCTCTCTCTTGGTCGACCAGCTGCTGGAAAAATGAAGAGGAAAGTGCAGAAAATTCGTTTAAGAAGGCTAGTTGATCACTTGGCCAAGAAACTCTAGGGTGGCGACAAGTGTCGCCACCACCACCTTTCATTTTTCTCTTTCCTTTCCTTGTTATTTTTAACCTCTATTTTCGGTCAAAGCAGCTGACAATTAAGAGGATATTTTGCTCAAATATCAATAAGCTTGTATGGTAAGAAAATGGTGGTCAAGTGGTGCGTTCAATCGGTAGTGCGCGGGACCCGCCGGTTCGCGCTATTTTTCTTAAAAACACACGTACTAGGGTTTTTACTTCCTATTCACTAACCTTGTATCATTGCTTCTAATCACATATTATTTCTCACTTAAAAGTCATTTTTAATTACCAAATTTGATCCTTGCTCCGTATCGAAAATTCATTCGGCAAAAATCGCGAAAACCCTAGTTTTGCTCCAATCTTGAAACCAAAAGTAAAACCTTACTTTCTAGGTTCATTGGCACTTATTGTGGAATGATTGAGTAGTAGGGCCATTATAAATTGGTATTTGTCAAAGAAAAGGAAATTTTTAAGAAAAATATAAGGAATTTGCACGGCTTCTGGCCGGATTCTCCACAAAACACTATTCACTAGAAATTTTTCCCTTTTCTTCTGCCTCGGGGCGTCACACTCGGTGTCAGTGTAGGGCCACTTATGCCTACCCCAATGAGCTAGTACTATCCCTGGATGATGAGCGTCGCCAGCTGAGGGACGCTAACTTCACTTTGTCTCAGGATGTAGAAGAGCTGAGTATCATGGTGGACACTCAGTTCGACCGCATAGCAGAGTTAGAGCAGAGGGTAGCAACGGAGCATGCTAGGCTGGAGGCCGCTCGCGTGGAGATAGCGCGTCAGAGAGCGAGGGTGACTCGATTGGCTGAGAGGATACGTGATAGGAGAGTCGGTATCAGGGCTGATGCCACAATGATGATAGATGAGGCCACGAGTATCCTTCAGAGTGTTGAGCAGGAGGACCCGGAGGAGGATCCAGAGGAGGACCCGGAGGAGGACATAGCTCCCGATAGCCCTGCTGAGGGTTAGGCTTGGATCAATTCGACCATATTGGATATGTAGGGTTAGAATAGGGGGACATTAGCTAGGTCATCAAGTTTTGTCTAGGTGGATGACTTATTTCTGAGGCACCATATCCCTAATTTTTGTTTAAGGGATTATTTGTATGTATTTTTGCTAGTTATGTGCCTTACCTTTTGGGAATGTCCCAACCTATTATTTGTATGACTTTCACTTGGAAATATATGTTAAGTGTTTTACTTACTTTTCCTTCCATTCCATATCGATTTTATTTACTAAGGAAACATTAATAAGCCTAAACAAATAACACTTCGCCTAATCGTTTGATCCTCCCATAATAGGCATAACTTAGACTATGGATCGCCAAGTGATAGGAAGGGGCCGCGGGAGACCCACTAGACAACACCCGGAAGCGGGTAGAGATAGAGAGCCCGAGGTCAACCCAGACCAAGGCCAAGAGGGCGGGACCGGAGACGGAGTAGCCACCGCTATTAACCGTATCACTGACGTCCTAGAGCGCTTGACTGAACACCAAGCTGCTGGACCAGGGCGCCATCAGGGAGGTCCAGTTGATTCCGACGATCGGGCACTGGAAAGGTTCCTGAAGTTTGGACCCCCCAAATTCTACGGAGGACCCGAGCCGGAAGTGGCCGAAGGCTGGTGGGAGAGGATCACTGAGATCTTCGCCGCCCTAAACTATACGGAGGAGCGAAAGGTGACTTTTGCCACCTTCCAGTTTGAGGGAGCTGCTCGCTCCTGGTGGAACCTAATGAGGGTTCATTGGGAGACTAACCATACACCACGAACTTGGATGAACTTCACAAGGGAGTTCAATGCCAAATTCCTTCCACCTCTCATTCAAGAGAAGAGAGAGGACGATTTCATTCGATGCAAGCAAGGGGCGATGAGTGTCGCCGAATATGAAATCCAGTTCACAAAGCTATCTCGCTTTGCACGTGAGTTGATAGCCACCGGGCAGAGGCGTGTTCGGAGGTTTGTACAGGGTTTGAATGTAGAACTACAGGAAAGTTTAGCCGCTGTGAGGATAGATACTTTCGCAGATGCTGTCGAAAGAGCTCAGAGAGTTGAAGTAGCTAGAGCTCAGGTGAAATCTTTTCAGGCTAAGGAAAGATTTACCCCCAGCAGTAGTCGAGAGCCGACGTATAGAAATACTCCACCGGCTAAAGTGGGCCGAGGAACTGGCGGAGTGACTAGTCCCGGAGCACCGCGAGGTGCACTAGCAAGGGGAATCGGGGCAAGGAATGCAGGGGGAAGAAACAATGGAATTAGAGGGGGACCGGTTGGAAGAGGACAACCTAGGAATACCTCGCAAGGAGGCCGAGCCATAATTCCCCAAATGACTTGTGTATACTATAAGAAACCTGGCCATACCATGGATAGCTGCTGGAAGAGGCAAGGAAAGTGCCTGAAATGCGGAAGTAGCGAGCACCAAATTTCTGGGTGTCCAAAAATGCAGGAAGGGACTACTTCGAATGCTAGACCAAACACTTCTGGAGGGAGCCGGCCGACAGTTCCTGCCAGAGTGTATGCTATAGGTGACCAACCTGTACCTAATGCCTCGGAAGTGGTGGAAGGTACACTCCCGATTTTTCACCGATTAGCTAAAGTGTTAATTGACCCTGGTGCAACCCATTCATTCGTTAAACCATCCTTTATGTCTGGAATAGATGTGCAACCTGTTAAATTACCCTTCGATCTTGAAGTTAGAACACCCATGGGTAATAAGAATGTAATCACTAGTCTGGTTTATAAGAATTGTGAATTCTGGATTGGAGAGCGTAAAATGCTAGTGGATTTGATCAGTCTGGACATAAAAGGTTATGATGTTATAATAGGAATGGATTTTCTAGGCTATCATCATGCTAAACTTGACTGCCGAGCGAAAGTGGTGGAATTTTGTATACCTGGTGAAGCAACCCTGAGGTTAGATGTCAAAGGTAGGTTAGCATCATCTGCTATGATCTCAGGAATTCGAGCCAGGAAAATGTTGTCTAAAGGAGCTCAAGGTTTCTTAGCTTTCTTGATAAACGCTCCCAGTGACCAAGTGAAGCTGGAAGATGTACCAGTGGTACGGAAATTTCCGGATGTTTTTCCCGAAGAGCTAAGGACTCTACCGCCGGAAAGAGAAGTGGAATTTAAGATTGACTTGATGCCTGGAACGGCTCCAATTTCTATCGAATGGCTCCTGCCGAACTAAAAGAATTAAAAATCCAATTACAGGATCTGTTGGAGAAAGGTTTTGTGAAGGAGAGTGACTCACCTTGGGGAGCACCCGTTCTATTCGTGAAGAAAAAAGATGGAAGCTTGAGGTTGTGTATCGATTACCGAGGGTTAAATGAGGCTACAATTAAGAATAAATACCCTCTATCGTTGATTGATAGTCTGTTCGACCAACTGCAAGGGTCAGTGGTCTTCTCTAAGCTGGATTTAAGGCAAGGGTACTATCAGTTGAAGATCAGGAAGGAAGATATACCTAAGACTGCTTTTAGTACAAGATACGGACATTTTGAGTTTGCAGTCATGCCTTTTGGATTAACCAACGCACCAGCTGCTTTCATGGACCTAATGCAGAGAATTTTTAAGAAGTATCTGGATCAGTTTGTAGTGGTTTTCATAGATGATATCTTGATTTACTCTAAGACTCGAGAGGAGCATGCTAAGCACTTAGAGGTGGTTTTGCAGATACTAAGAGAACATAAGCTGTATGCCAAATTCAGCAAGTGTGAGTTTTGGTTGACTGAAATATCTTTTCTAGGACACCGAGTTTCTGAAGATGGAATTGCCGTGGATCCGGCAAAAGTTGAGGCCGTTATGAGTTGGAAACAACCAGAAACTCCAACTGAAGTTAGAAGTTTCTTGGGCTTAGCAGGTTATTACAGGCGATTTATTCAGGATTTCTCGAAAATTGCAGGACCTATGACTGAGCTAACCAAGAAAGGAGCTAAGTTTGTCTGGACTCCGAAGTGCGAGTCAAGTTTCCAGGAACTAAAGAAGCGGTTAACATCCGCTCCTGTTTTGGTTTTACCTGATGGAGGTGAAGGTTACGCTGTACATTCTGATGCTTCCAGAGAAGGTCTGGGATGTGTTTTAATGCAAATGGGTAAGGTAGTTGCCTATGCGTCTAGGAGATTGAAACCCCACGAGCAAAACTACCCAACTCACGACCTAGAACTAGCTGCAGTAATTTTCGCCTTGAAGAAATGGAGACACTACTTGTACGGCGTTACTTTTGAGGTTTTTACGGATCATAAGAGTCTCAAGTACTTGTTCTCCCAAAATGAGCTGAATTTGAGACAAAGGCGATGGGTAGAATTCCTGGAAGATTATGATTGCTCGATTAATTACCATCCAGGAAAAGCCAATGTGGTGGCTGACGCTCTAAGTAGGAAGGCCCAAGTAGCAGGGTTAATGGTAAAAGAGTGGGATATGTTAGAGGAAATAAGTGGTTGGAACCCTCGCTTGGAGAAATTGAAGGTTTTATTTGGGAACTTATCATTGAAGTCACCGTTACTAGAGCGTATTAAGGAGACCCAGCAAACGGACCCTATGATTCGGAAGAATTTGGAGAAAGTACAAAAAGGGGAAACCCAAGACTTCAAATTAGGGCCTGAGGGGGTATTGAGGTCTCGAGATCGAATTGTGGTTCCGGCAGATGATGAGATAAGACAAGGAATTCTAGAAGAATCACATCGGTCAAAGTATACTATACACCCAGGGGTGACTAAGATGTATCACGATGTAAAGGGATTATACTGGTGGGAAGGTTTGAAAAAGGACGTGGCCGCGTTTGTGCAAAAATGCTTGATCTGCCAACAAGTAAAAGCTGAACATCAAAAATCCTCTGGATTATTGCAACCGTTAGAAATCCCTGAATGGAAATGGAAACACATAACAATGGATTTTTTAACGGGCTTACCTAAAAGTCAAAAAGGTTTTGATGCAATTTGGGTAATAGTCGATCGACTCACTAAGTCTGCACACTTTTTACCTGTAAGCATGAGTTTTTCATTGGAAAAATTGGTCAAGTTGTACACAGAAGAGATCCTAAGGTTACATGGTATTCCAGTGAGTATCGTGTCTGATCGAGACCCAAGATTTGTCTCGCGTTTTTGGCAGAAATTTCAGGACTCTTTGGGGACCAAGCTGAAATTTAGCACTGCGTATCATCCCCAAACCGACGGGCAATCGGAAAGGACAATTCAAACTTTGGAGGATTTACTGAGGTCGTGTATACTGGATTTTGGAGGTAAGTGGAGCCAATATATGACCTTGGTGGAATTTGCATACAATAACAGCTATCAGGCTTCGATTCAGATGGCACCTTATGAGGCTTTGTATGGAAGAAGGTGCCGATCTCCGATTCATTGGGATGAAGTTGGAGAAAAGAAAATCGTAGTCCCTACAGCTATACCTTGGATTGAAGAAGCCCAGGAGAAAGTAAAACTAATTAGAGAAAGGCTTCAAGTTGCTCAGAGTAGACAAAAGAGCTACGCCGACACAAGGAGGAAAGATTTAGAATTTGAAGTTGGAGACCAGGTTTTTCTCAGAATTAAACCCTTGAAGGGCGGAGTAGTGTCTAAGAAAGGTAAAAAGCTGAAGCCAAGGTATATCGGACCTTTCGAAATTTTGAAGAGAGTGGGGTTAGTAGCGTATCAATTGAAGTTGCCTGCAAGCTTGGCCAAGATTCACGATGTATTTCACGTTTCCATGCTTAGGAAATATTATTCCGATCCAAGTCACGTGCTGCCACTGGATAGAATTGAAGTGGATGAGACGTTAGCGTATGAAGAAGGACCGGTCAGGATTTTGGAAAGAGAAATGAAGGAGCTGAGAAATAAGAAAATTCCTCTGGTGAAGATTTTATGGAAAAATCATGGACTCGAGGAAGCAACTTGGGAATTAGAAGAAGGGATGCAGAACAAGTACCCTGATTTATTCCCCTAGTAAGCTTGAATTTTGAGGACAAAATTCTTTGTAAGGAGGGGAGGATGTGAGAACCCTGAAAATGCATATATAAATAACATTTCATATGTCGTTTGCACTTCTTTTATTCATTAATAATTTTTAGCATTACTTTTACTTGTTTGCAATTAAGTACAAAAAAACACGTTTATGTGAAAATTAATATAATTTTTCTAAGTTATGAAATTTCTTGGTTTTGCTAGACTAAGTTAAGACATTTAGAGCTAGATTAAATTTTTATTCTTTTCCGTATTAACATGAAATGTTAGATTTATATATTTTGGTCAAACTTGATTTTAATAGTTTAATCAATCAAGCATGATTGTTAAGCGTTATTAGGAACCTTAATACTAACGTGCAATCGATAAATATTCGATATAAAGGGTTTAAGTACACCAGTGTATAATTAGACTTTCAAACCACATTTGGGGACAATTTTTGGAGCTAAGTTAGAACCAAGGAATTAAGTGGATAATAGGAGGAGAAGTGAAAAGACTAAACTACCCTCACAATGTCACACAATTTCCCACGGCCATAACCATTCCCTGCTCAGCCAAACAGCTCCTCGGACAGCATGATCATCCACCACCCAGCCGGCCAACCGCATTCTTCTCCATTTCAACACACCACCACCCTAGCTGACCAACCGGCACCTTCACCACTGCAGCACACCATCTCTGCCGACACTCAACCATCCCCAAAACCGCAGCACCACTTCACAATTCCATTCCATAACCTCTGCGCACTTCCTACATCAGATAACACTTCCCCATTACATTGTTATCATCGACCGAGAGTGAGGAAGGAAGCTGAGAGTGCGGTTCCATTTCTGGTTCTGTCCGCAAACATTGAAGCTAGAGTGAAGGCAGAGAGAAACCGTGAGCAAGCTCCACCCATTCTGCACCTCCATTTCACTCCACTTCACGACTGTAACATCCACCAGCTGCAACCAAAATCTGCTTCGTGCGTGAGAGCCGAGAGGAAGGGAAACTTTTCAAACTTTCTGTCCGAGAACTTAGCTTGCTGTGAGGTGATTTCTGAGCTCCATTTAAACTGGTTAAGAGGTTGATTAAGCTTTGCATTTGACAGTGAGCATGGATAAGTTAGAAAATTCTTACGGACTTAAAATCTGGCCACATTAAGGCCACCGGGGATGATCGATTAAATTCTGAAAATTTTGGCTGAAAGATGTTGTTATTGAAATCGATTTCTAAACTAAAAATGTTAATCAGTGGCTAAGCTACTGCATGTTGAATTTGAGCATCTAACTCCACGGATAATCCAAGGAAAATCCGGAACAATTAGAATCAAAGCTGCTGGAATTCTTGATTATGCGGACTGCCGTGAGATGATTCTGTGATTAATTGAAGTAATCTGAGCTTTTATATGCGATTACTTAACTCTAGACATGATGTTTAAGACCATGCATGTCAATCTATGTGTTCGGATGTTGTATTAGAAACTTAGAAAATTCTGTTTTTGTCGAGAATGATTTTGCCGAGAGAATGGATTGGAAATGCAACTGAAATTCGGTTTTCTTGTGATAACCTGAGCACTCAAGTGTAACTAGCCGAGTGGAACCTAATGTTTATGATGTCTAGGACCCGGCATGTTAATTCTATGAAGGTGATTGATGAATTAAGGAACCTTAAGAAATTCTGGTTTGATGAAAATCCATTGTCGAGATTGATGAAGAAATGAATTGCTTAATTTGCTTAATTATGTCAAGCTGTGGTTATAATCCTAATTATTCAAGTGAAGATAAAATGCTTAAGGGCCTGCATGTTGAGTTACACGATTGGACAATGAATCTAGGAACTTGGAAAAATTCTGGTTTAGTGAATTGGGATTCGTATGACCTGAAGATTCCCGAGACCTTGAATTAGATATTTAGTTCTCAATCTGTATTATGGGGATTTTATGAGTTGATATATATGATTAACTAGTTAACAACATGTTAATTGAAGTTTGCATAAGGTCTTGTAGCTTGGCTAACCAGGAAAATAAAAATGAAAACAGAAAAATTATTTCATGAACTATCATCCGAGCTTAGTTGATACAAATTCTGGATTTGTGATTAGATGAGTACAATTGTAGTATGAACCTGGATTTGATTTGGAAACCTCTACTAGCTAGCTACGTGTTTTCAAGTCCTAATAGAGTACCAAAAATTCTGTTTTTAACCAAAGAAAATTCTGTTTTGGAACCCTTGTTATTGCTGGAATTTCTTTGTGA